TCAGTTTTTGCTTCTTGTTGAGGCAGAACCCTGACGACTTGGTTCAGTGCATGGCTTAGAGACGGGCCTTCAGCTTGAAACCCCTCTGAATGAATTGTCAAAAGCTTGATGCCTAGGCTTTTGATGCAGAAGGTCGCGCCTCTCTTTACTAAGAAAGGTTTAGAATTCAAAGTGGAGTATGTCACATCGATCCGAGACTGGCAAGGAACCCTGCCCAACATCAGCACCCTGCACGGTGCCTATCGGCGGCGCACCATCAAGGACCAAGATGTCATTCCACATAGTTTCACCTTCATCCGAAGGGAGTGTGCATGGATGCACTGCAAGACTGTTTCTTTTTCTCCTGTGCTCTTGCTTGTTTACCCCAGGCCCAACTATGTTCTGTTTCACTCACTTTCTGTTTGAAAGCTGCAGTGTTCAGGTATGCCTTCGACTTTGTTGGAGAGGGCTGAGGAACGGCTCCCATCATGGTATGTGAAGACTCCATCGGACACGTTTGTTCTGGTCAAAGCATATGTGAGCGACGATCAACTATGTCAACCTCCACTTTTGGTTTTACCTGGTTGTAAAATCCAAGATGTCAGCCGTGCATTGCACAAGCTTGCGCAAACAACTGCCCCATGTTTCTTGTCCTGTGAGGGTTTTTGTTTTTTGTTAAGCTTCAATGTGCTCAGAAACGCTGGTGTAGTTTGTATGTCTCTGTCACTGAGGCCTACAGGTGTCCATGTCTGAAGAGAGACAGCAGGAACTCAATGAGTTAGCTGAGTACTTGTCTGCAAATTTCCCCCAGTATATGAAAGGGGTGCACTTGTTGCAACTTGCTGGAAAGGTTGCACTGACACGTACTGTGCCCATGAATTTGGGATATATTTTGGCCGGTCCGTCGCCTGCTGTGCAACGGGGCCATGCACAGCTCCATGATCCGGAGCCTCACAATGTTCGCAGGCTCCAAGTCCGATTCCACAGGTACTATTGAAATGCTGTAGAAAATATAGGACCCGTTTCTCACAATGCACTGCAACTACCGTTTCTCAATGAGTGTTTTGATGTGTTTTTGTGTCTTTTTCGCAGCCTTTTTGACCTGTGAAGTCCTTCCGCCCTTCGTCTCCCAAGAAGGAAATGGAGGCTGTCAAGGAGTGCTTGCTTTGTTTCTGGGAAACCAGCCAGCAACCCAAAAAAAATGGCCAGATCCTGCCCTCGCCCCCCTGTCTGCACAGGAAGAAGAACTGTTTGGCGCCTCTGACTCGGAGAAGGTGCCGTGGAAGAAGCGGTTGATCCTGGCAATGGAAGAGGCGAAACAAAGAACAAAACCTGTGCTGTTTGTCATTTGCTTTTTTAAACCCATTATGTTTGAGGGAACATTTTTACCAACCAGCAAGTTCTCCAGGTAACTGCAAAGCAGAATCTTGGGGAGTTCATCCATGAGCGCTACAACCAGGATGAGTCCAGCCAGCGCCGGTTTACAAAGGACAGGTATAAAAAGTAATGTCATTTTCCCTGGACTGTTGAACATGGTAATCTTCAACTCCTGGTTCAGTCCAGGTGATGCTGGACTTCCTAGCGGTTGACAAAGTGGCTGCAAAATTGCCAACACCGTCGGGGCCAATTCTCAGTAGGGTTCCTGCTTCGACCAGAAAGAATGTGTACCTCCACCCATGGCACTTGTCCATGTCACAGGGTGCCAAATATGGCACTAATGGGAAATGGCCATCTACAGTTGCCATCCGTGCCCACTTCCCTTTGATTGTGGGTCGAGGATATGAATCTGAGAGGGAGGCTCTTGAGATCAAGTTTGAACCCGGCCTTGAGGGAAAGGAGATCCAGCTCTTTCAAACGGGCTACATCGATGGGCATGCGAAGGGTGTGATGGTTCAAGGAGTTTTTGCACTCCTTGATTACCTAGAGCCCCAGCTAATTGTTGATGTGAACATACCCCAGTGTTGCCGATGTTGTTAAGGAAACTTGGTGTGACCCACATTGACACTTTTTTCCAACTTAGGGGGGCAACACCGCACGATATCGAATGTGATGATGAGATGTGTGAGCTTCTTGCAACGCTAAAGTTCTTACGCAGCAACTATGTGCACTTCAAACTGCCGGAGCAGTGTGTGTATGAAGCCTTGAGTACAGAACTGAGACCGTTGGTGGGAAAGAAACTGTCCAACCGTCCAACACTTGAAAAAAAAAACTGTTTTTTGTTTTTTGGCAAGGTTTGGCGAACAGAACAGCTGAGAAAGCCAAACCGGGACCTCTTGAACTCACCCTCTTCTTCAAGGACACCTATGATTGGTTCCAAAATCTGCAGTATGAAAGCAGGTGTTTGTTCAAAAGCTCAGGTAGTTAGGGCCCAACTTGTCTCCAGGAAGCGTGCAGGGTAAAGCGCCTCCACAGCAGCAAGACGTCTTCTGTTCGAGACCTGCTGTACAGCGCCATTGCAGAGTTCAACAAGCAAACACATACCAAGGCAACTTCACTGTATAGGGGTCAAGCTGTGGTAGGGGGTTCTCTCCAAAAAAGATTTGTGCTGCCTAGTGGACTGGAGGCGTCCAAAATCAAAGATGACTTGAAGAAGGTCATTTATGGAGTTCTTCGGGCGCCTGAAGAATTGTTGGAGCTGATGAAACGCTCTGCAGACCTGTACAAGTGGGAGCATGGAGGCTGGAACAGCAAGGTTGTTTGTTGTAACTGCACTGTGCTTAAATATGAACAGTATGGGGTGAGCATGTCAAAAGACCCCTGAATATGTTGTTTTTGATCCACACCGGCCGTGACAATGTCCCCTGACAGCCTGGACCCTCGACATCTTGGCTGATGACTTTTATGTTCCTGGCCATGTGCTCTCCAGCCAGACTGTTCCTGACGGGTGGTGGCGAAACACCAAGGTGCCTATACATGTTGGTTCTTTCCCCAAAATGTCAATGGAGTTCAG